GCCCTTCCCGGTCCCCGGTCCCCGGTCCCCGGTCCCGCCCCGCCCCATTCAGGGCCTGTCCTCTCCACTGGCATAGCCCCACCAGGGCCCCGCCCTCCCGGACCGGGTCCCCACCAGGTCCCTCTTGCGCTGCTGGGCCGCTTCCAGCAGTCCGCGTGCCCGCTCCGCACGCTCCCGCGCTGCCTCGCGCGCCTCCCCTCGCAGGGCCCGCGCCGCCTGGCTCCGCCTCCGCTGCAGGCTGAAGAAGGAAAACTGAGGCGGTGCCACCGCGGGAAGCTGCGGATGTTCAGGCTCCCGCGGCCCAGGCGTTGATGAGGCCGAGGAAGCCCCCGTCGGGGCGCCGTGGGACAGGCTCCACCCCCCCCTTCGTGGGTCCCAGTCCCGACGGCCTAGAGCAGAGGTTCGGGCTGGGCAGGGAAGAGGAACCGACGGGTCGGCCGGACGCTCTGCGAAGCCCCGGGTGCAACGGCCCGCGAGACCGACTGTGGCGCACCCGCCCCGCGGAGTGGAGCCGCGCTCCCGCTCCCCGCACACCTGCGCTCGCGCTCGCGCAGGTCCTGCAGGCGCCCGGTGAGACTCTCGCTCTCGGCCTCGAGCCCGCGCACCAGCTCCTCCAGCTCCTGCTTCCTCAGGCGCCCGTCGCGGTTGTCCTTCTGCAGCTGCAGCAGCAGCTCTTGCGTCTCGGCCATGGCTCCCCGAGCTCTGCGGGGCCGCCGCCGCCGATCTCGGGGACCAGCGGCCCGCGCGCGTCACAATGGGCGGCAGGGGGCGCCCAGGCGCAGGTCTCTTTTGGGAGAGATTCCCATAGATTTTCCCTCCTCTCTCGTCACCAACTAGGGCACATACTCATTCCTACGGCAGCCGCCAGCGAATGGGAATAGAACTAAGATGAAGGTTTCGGATGAGGTGGGTGCTGGCGAGGGCTTACCATTGACAAATGGTGCTGGGAAAACTAGCTCATGATAAAAAGAGAAATAAAAGATTTCTACTTCACATTCTATATAAAAAGTAACCCTAGAAGGATCAGAGACTTAAAATGGAGAAGGCTTGAGACTTTGGTGTGCGGAAAATTTTAACCAAGACACAGCAAGTACAATCTGTGGAAACTTGATGGATTCAATTATATCAAATTTAGGGATTTCTGCTTCTCAAAAGACACCCGTTGACAGCAATGCTCTCTATCCTGTTTAGAGGTTGAGTACCTGAGTATAGACATTGGTCAAAACTCATCCCACTCTGGCCCAGTAGCTCAGTTGGTGTGTCCTTCCATACACCAAGGTTCGATCCTGATCAGTTCACATATAAGAATCAACCAATGAATGTATAAATAAGTGGAACAACAAATTGATGTTTCTCCCCCCGCCCTTCCTCTCTCTAAAATCAATTTAGAAAAAGGTCATCCCACAGAACATTTAAGACCTGTACATTTTGCCCAGCTGGTGTGGCTCAGCGGTTGAGCATCGCCCTATAATCCAGGAGATTGCGGTTGGAGTCCCCGTCAGGACACATGCCCGGGTTGCAGGCTGGATCCCCAGTAAGGGGCATGCAGGAGGCAGCTGATCAATTACTTTCATCACTGATGTTTCTCTCTCTCCCTCTCCCTTCCTCTCTCTGAAATCTGTGACTCGTTTTATAGATGGGAAAATCGAGGTTCAGCAACAACAGGCCGCTATGCAGTGGCAGCCCCAATGACCAGTCCCCGCTTAAGCTCAGAAGAGAAGCTAGGAGCGGCAGCTACCCATAATGGGCCATGATACTGGCCTGCCCCTAGGTGACTTTTCTGCAGCTGTGGAGGATGAGCTGATGGGTGCTTCTGGGGATCCCCCGGGGGGGGGGTCCCTCTGGGCAGCCCAACCCCTCCCCATCCACCCCTACACCCCCATCTGGACAAGGAAAACCTCTTCAGGTAAAGCCGGGGGCTAATTATGCTGTTCCTGAAACCCGAGCTGCTTCCCTTCAGTGGCCTGGAGGTAGGGGGGATGGGGTGTGGGCCACAGCAGTCATGGAAACAAACCATCCTGGCCTTGGTGCCTCCAAGACCTGCTGGGAGCAGCTGCCTGGGGTCTGATTCCTGCAGCAGCCCCACCTTTGACACCCCCCCCCCCC